TTCCCGTGGTGAGGAAATGCGTGGCTGCCAAGTTGTATCAGGTTTTGTTTTACTGAAATCAGTTATGGAAAAACTATTGCCATTGCAACGATCGTCATGGTAACGAGTAAACAAAAATTCGAATCCAGTGGTGAGGAAATGCGTGGTTGCCAAGTTGTATCGGGTTTAGTATAGCTGAAATCAGCGCAATCTTCGACCCTCAAATTTTGTTCTGCTAGTGTTCAAACAATAACTTGATTCGAATGAATACCCTTCTTATCAATTTCTTGAATACTGTTCGTCGTTGATTAATTCCCAAATTACTACTTCTCTGACGATCATAATAATATATGGAAATAACGTCAGGAAAAAATTGGCTTTGTTATTGAACAGAGCTAGACAAAATAGCGAGCGACAAAATAGTGCGGAACAAATAGCGCATAAGGAAGGACACTACTTTTTCTAAACAATCTGACCTAACTCGGCTTAAATGAACCTCCTTAGAAAAAATATATTTTTCAACATCGATCAAATTTGGTAGCAAGGCATCGTTCGTGTGTGTTTGAAGACTGCATAAAAAAGGACACTACTTTTTCCAAACAATCTAACCTAACTCGACTTAAATAAACCTTCTTCTTGAAACACATTTATTTTTCAACATCGTTCAGATTTGGTAGCAAGGCATCGTTCGTGTATGTTTGAAGACTGTTGCTGAATATTCCAGAATGCCTCTTGTTTCTTTTTGATTTTGTCGAATAGCTCGGCACGCGACGAATGGTTACATTGGAGGATGTTTTTGAAATTAGTGAATGAAGCAATAATTCTCCGATACAAATTGGCAACCACGCATTTCCTCACCATGGAAATCGGATATTTTCTTCACTTGTTACCATGACGATCGTTGCCATGGCAATAGTTTTTCTATAACTGATTTCAGCCAAACTGAACCCAATACAACTTGGCAACCACGCATTTCCTCACCACGGGAATCGGTTTTTTTTTCTACTCCTTACCATGACGATCGTCGCCATATGGCAACAGTTTTTTCCTAACCGATCTCAGCTATACTAAACCCGATACAATTTGGCAACCACGCATTTCCTCACCACGGGAATCGGGTTTTTGTTTACTCGTTATCATGACGATCGTTGCCATAGCAACATTTTTTTCATAACTGATTTCAGCTAAACGAAACTTGAGCCAATATCTCAAACATATTCGGGATTCCCTTTCGTGCACTCCAAAAGCTTAAAAAATGTTAAATCGATTTTTATTTCAGTAGATATAGGGTGCATGTGATAGTGAAAAAGTTCTAATGAATTCAACACCGCGTGTAGTTTGCCATTTTGAAATTAGATAAGACAATAAGCTTCGAAAATTGATAATCGTAATTATACAGACTTTCCAAAAAATTCCCAAAGATTACCCGGACTTCCCGAGATATTCCCGTCTCGGGTGCACTGGACTTCCCACGTAATTTACCCCTTGCCTCAACCTTGAAAACATGAAGAACCCAGGAAGATTTTTTCATGTATCATTTCCTAACATCAACATATTATACATAATGATACCCTCCTAAAGGCATACTGGGTGAAATCACGTCAGAAAATGTGTCACTACCTGCCGGTCTAATATATTGAGTAAAATATACAGGATGGAGACTTCAACTGGAATAAATTCGCTACTATGGGGGTGTAAATGATTTTTCTAAAAATTCGCGAGACACGTCAACATTCGATAGTATTTGCCTACATTTGGCGAGCAATATTGAGAAAATAACTCTTCAGGGGTAGCTGAAATCAACCACAACATGTTTTTTTCAAATGCATCCCTATGGCTTGCGACCCCTCATTGGAAAGCTGGTCTAGCGTACTGATCACATTTCGGTTTGCAGTACGTTTGGAAGTCGCATAAAATCAAAATATACTGTCAAAGTTTAATATATTTTCGACATATTTTCATCAAAATTTCGACTTTTAGTGACAGTGATATAAGGCATTTCCACCAGTTTGCAATAACATTTCGTTTCGAACCGTGAATATGGCAAAATAGTATATTATACACCTAGGGTGAGAAGTGAGCTATTATATAGCAAGCACTTTTATATCCTGAGGCGCGAAGCGCCGAAGGATATAATGTGCGAGCTATATAATAGCGTTCTCTCCCGAAGTGTATATAATATTTTTTCCACTACTAACACTGAAATATCAACATATTTTATCATCCAGATTTTCATTTTCACTGAAGGAGGGAGCTATGCCATTTACCGTGTTTATCAAGCATATTACTAAAATGTCGATATATATCAAGTAGCCTGGGAGTCCAGTGGTCAAACAAACTAAAATGAAATTTGACTTGGCTGTCAGAAACTAGATGCTGAAGGTATAAAATTCCAAGTGAAATTTCGAATATAAACTAAAAATGAGTGATAATTATTCAAGTGACACTGATATGGAAGCATGTACCCCGCCCGAAGTTAGGAAAGCGGCAATTGATGCAAGTGGCGATTTGTTGCCATCCAAATCGAAGCGTTTGTATATGAATGCATATAGCAAATTGAAAATTTGGTGTGAAAGCAAAAAAATAGTTAAATTATCAGAAAATGTTTTATTGGCATATTTCCAAGAGAAAGCTAATAATAATAAAATATCCACATTGTGGAGCAACTATTCGATGCTCAAGACAACGTTATCAATAAAAGAAAATATCGACATATCAAGATTCTTCAAGCTCACGGCATTTTTGAAGCAGAAGAATAGTTCCTATAAACCAAAGAAATCTAAAGTATTTTCGAAAGGAGAAATCGATAGATGAATTTTTATCGAAGAAGGTAGTATAGATATTTTACTCATAACTTTATGACTAGTTTTCTACAAGAATTGATATTTTAGGCTATTTTGGTAGTTGGTGTAGCTGGAGCTTGCAGGACAGACGAACTTTGTAAGATGGTTCTGGATGATGTAAACGTTCGAGAGGATATTATTATTATCAATATTCCTAATACCAAGAATGGAACATCTAGAAAATTTGTCATTGTTGAGCCAGAATGGAGTAATGTACTCAAAAAATACTTAGCTAACAGGCCAACTGATATTAAAAAATTATTTATATCATACCGTAAAGGTAAACATGCCAGACAAAATATTGGGCATAATACTATCAGTAAAGTACCTTATGCAGTTGCTCAATATTTGAGATTAGAAAGTCCTGAATGTTATACCGGTCATTCTCTGAGGCGTAGCTCGGCCACACTTTTGGCAGAAAATGGTGGAGACTTACTAAGTCTAAAAAGGCATGGTGGATGGAAGTCAGCTACTGTCGCAGAAGGATATATTGCGGAGTCAATAGCGGACAAAAAAAGAATTGCCAATTTAGTGCAAAAAGAAAATCAAGCCTCATTTGATGAACATCAAAATTTACCTTCAACTTCCTTTGCTCAACGCGATAATTTCCTAGAAGAAAACTTCCATGCTGATGATTTTCATTGTGAGCCAAGTCACGATGAATATTATCAAAATACAACAACTATCCATAATTCTGAGGTTAACTTACCTGTCAATAATATCAATTCAATCAATACAAAAAATGCAGGAATTCACATGATATGCCACAATTGTACCATCAACTATAATTTCAAATAGACAATCCATAGGTAGATAGGTATATCGATATCATATTAATAAGTACATTTTTGTATAATGATTAATAAGTAAGTTCCTACCTGCAGGCCTAATTATAATATCTAGGATTTAGGAAGTAAACTTTATGATGTTGATATTTCATGATGTAGAGGTAGGTATAGGTTTAGATAATCCTAGTGTTCTTTATCCTTGCTGTTTCAGAATTAACTAATATCTACCTATAATAATATAGGTAGATATTATTTCATTGGTTGCATTAAAAATATGAGGAACCTTTTGAATTTGAATTTAGCCGCTAGTGATAATATCCCGTGATAAGTGGTAGGTAGAATGGTTGGTGCATTGTGATTATTTACAAACGAAACGAAACGGGTCAAGGTCAACGTGTCAACGATATCGATATCATAAACATAGATTAGAGATGCGTTCGGTCACGTATACGCATGCGTATACGGAATCGGAATCAGAATATCGATACTGATAAATATCGCAAGTATATATTTAAAATACAGTGTTTTGAAATGATTTGAAATATTTAACCTTATTCATGAACAACGCAGATGTTACTGTTACCACGCTACCTGATGTACCTACGTAATAAATCATATCAATCGAACATATTCTCTCAGTCGATATCCATCTCTAATAATTAGCGCATGACAGTGACAGCGCAGCTCAATATGAATTGTGATATTTTTAGAATTTAATAATTTACATAATCCCGAACATTTTTTATACTAATTCCAGAAATCGTCTTCAGCTGCAGTGAATTTTGCAGTATTAACTATATTTGTTTTACGTTTCGGCTAATAATTAATGTTTCATTGGTTGCATAAGCATCGGTATTTACATGTGTATACTTCATATCATTGACACTATTGACAGTTTTATTTACCTAGGTAAAATTTCTTTATCATTTTTTACCTAGGTTAAAAAAGTGTCACTTCTCATCGAAGTAAATGCTTGAATAATGGTGATTTCTCAGGTTAGTAGTGGAAAAAATAAGTTTTCTTTTTGTGGCTATATAAAAACAGTGGAATATAATAACAGATAGCAGTTGTGACAAAAAATTACCATCAATTGTTCAACACACATTTTGAGCGATTGAATCGTTGAAAATAAATTGAATTTCGAAAAAACATCCCAATTCTATGCAACCCTCAAACGTATGGAGAATTGAAATTTTACTAGTACGCTGGATTCCTTTTAACACCAGCTTTCCAATGAGGGGTCACAAGCCATAGGGATACATTTGAAAACATCGTGATGAGGGTGGTTTCAAGGTAGGTAAATTTATCAAATCGTTGACGTATGTCGGGAATTTTTAGAAAAAATATTCTCCACACATAATCAATCACCCTGTTCATACATCTTTTTTACCTTGAGAAATTCCGGCTTGAGATGATCTCCCGTGAACAAATCGACGTTTATGTAATTCAGGTCTACCCCTATAGCCTTGGCACACATATTGACAGATCTGACAGGAGGACTAGGAGGGATCATGTAAAGAGTTGGCGCCATCTTTGTTGGATACTTTGATCTTTTATCTTGAGTACCCTAGTTACATTAACCACTAAACCGACTCATGAAACTCTCACGATTGACTGGTGACAAGACTTCGCTCGCTGAATAATGAATAAAAATAATTCTCGGTACATTCCAGTTAAGAATGAAGTGAATGATGAGGGAGTGTTTAACCTTGTTTTCCATTGGTGTAGTTGCTAGGCTGGTTCACATATGGTTCACACGTACCAATGATATAATAATATCAAATCAAACTCTTGGATAGGTACATATACCGGGTGTTTCTTAAAAGTGGCTCACCACTATGTAACTTTGTTGTTCCTACAGATAAACAAATGGAATTCGGTGTGTAACAATAGTACCTACTTGAATATGCATCATTTGACGTATTCAATTGTTTTCTGCCACTCCCGGTTTGACCGAAAATACATTCATTTTCTTATTTTGAATGGGACACCCGGCATATTTTTACTCAGCTCTCTAGAGAATCACATTGTGAGTACCTACAATGACACTCCAATTGCTACTTTTCGACATTTTAATCAATGGCATGTTGAGTTTTTCATTATGCCTGTGACTTATCATTTCACAATTCGTAATACTGATCTGACAATTGAAATTAGCGTTTCTCAAGAAGTTTTGCCAAAGCCAATACTTTCAATATAATTGCGCGCAATTATTGTCATATCAATAAATATTGAATTATATTACTTTTTTCTGTGACGGGAAAAAAGTTTGATATTTCATTTCTGTTGACAGGATATGAAATGTCACTTTTTATAAATTACTATTTTCCCATGGGAAAACAGTGAATACTGCTTACCCGGATATATATTATATACACTGTTGATGGCTTTTGTTGTGCTATTTCCGAAAATTGAACCAATAACACCATCTCCGAGAAAAAACTGCAAGTCCTTTTATCTTCCCTTTCGACCTCGCGGTTACGTGAATTACTAAACAATCACTAAATTCGCAATTTTTTTAAATCAAATCACAAAATTAGACTGACAGATATTTGATTACTCCAAAAGAATGATAAAGATGCCTGGAAAAAGATGCTTGCAACGCAACGTCATTCCTGTTAAAAACTTTCAAATTTCAAATTTCAAAATCTACTAATTTTTTCCCTTGTATAATGAATGAAAAAATTTTATGACGCATCATATACAGGCTGATCCACGGTGGATGGCCTATTAGAAGTATCTAGAGAACGAAAAGACAGAACATTCTGAAAATTGGGATGCTCTGATAATTGAACATTCTCTATCCGTCTAAAATATTTTCATCGATACAGTGTTGCCACTTCTATCAGAAACAACTAGCAACTTCGTTATTTTAAATAGAGCACCCTGTATTTTATTGCATCTTTAGATTCTCCCTGAAAAGTTGATTTCATCAATGCATCACACTTGGGGTCTAGCAGGAATGATTACATAGATATAGGGTGATCAAAATCGAGATTTTTCATTTTCTGGATTTTTTTGTGTCGAAAGTATTCATTATTGATCAAAATGGCTCACATGTCCCTATCTCAACTTTCGATTCACTATCTACTGACATTTAATTGGAACAGATACAGGGTGATCAGAATTCTGAATCTTGAAGCACCCTGTATTTTTTCCAATCAAATTCCAGTAGATAGTCAATCAAAAGTTAAGATAGGGATATGTGACCCTATATCTCTGTAATCATTCCTGCTAGACCCCAAGTGTGATGCATTGATGAAATCAGCTCTTCAGAAAGAATCTAAAAATGCAATAAAATTCAGGGAGTTCCTTTTGAAATAACAAAGTTGCTAGTTGTTGCTGATAGAAGTGGCAACACTGTATCGATGAAAATATTTTAGATGAATAGAGAATGTTCAATTATCGAAGAAAACCAATTTTCAAGATGTTCTGTCTTTTCGTTCTCCAGATACTTCTAATAGGCCATCCACCGTGGATCACCCTGTATAGCCATCGCAATAAACTGTCTGAGCGTTCAGGCAGATTATGATCTGGATATTGATTCATAATTTCGATTGTGTGTTATCAACGTGCTCGAATCAAAATTCACTTTTCAGATATATGGTAATGAGCCACCCTTGTTCCATTTGAAAAAATTGAGTGAACATCATAATTACGATATTGTCAATTTTGAATGAACCTGGTGAAATAAATGGAAAGTAAAACTTCATCACAAGTGTTTTTCCTTTTGGCAACCTGATTCAAAATTTCTTCAACACATGCATGGCACTCTAGATCGAAAATCGAAAAATGAAAGATTCAGGAATATAAATGTCAAATGGGGTGTCAATGTACTCACACTAGTTGCGTTATATTGATATTGCTAGTGTTACCAGTGGGACAGAATCACCGGTTCATTGAATATTCTGTGGAATTTCTCATCATCCTGGTGCCACTGGCCATTCGGTCTCTCTGTTGTGATCGAAAACTTTGAGAAAACATAGTAGATACGGAATAGGCACGATATACACTCACATGCAAAAAAAAAGGAACAAGTAAATATTTGGTAAAATTTGAAGTCTCATAGTTTTTTATTTTTACTTCAATTTCCAAAATTTTTTCAGCAAACTGTGGATAAAATCATCAATTTCAACTGGCACATTCAGTATTTTGTTAAATGCTGGCTCATTAATCATTATACAGAGTTAACTAGAAGTATGTTGATATACCCTAATTTTAAAACATCCTGTGGAATAATTTCGTGGTCAAATTCTTTCAAAATACAAATTTTTGTTAAGAACCGATCCTTCTCAACATTTTGTTTTAAGGTTCAAGTCTTTAGTTGCTTTAGTTTATTTTTAAGAGGGAAATGAACTCCAAACAACAGAGTTTACCTAAATTTAAGAAATGTTATTTTTTGACGACATGGATTTGCTCATTGTGCCATAATGTCAGTATGACAGCTCAGTTCATGAGTGTTACAATGAAATGACAGCAATATATTGTTTAGTTATAATAATAAACAAGTAATACAAAATTTATTTATGCAAACTCATTCAATTCAAATTAAAAATCAAACTTCAAAACAAACCAGTTCAACTGTAACTTAAATAACCTGATGAGGAAACGTACTTTTTACAACAAAATCAGCTTAATATTTTGTATTACCACCTCTGGCTCTCACAACTGCCTGCATACGTTGGTTCATACTGTGAATTAGGTTTCGAATAGCATCTTGTGGAATATTTTGCCATTCCTCCTGAATGGCTAAACGAAGTTCATTTATGGTAGCCCGAGCTACTTCGCGATCTCTGACTCGCCTACCAAGCATGTCCCACACATGCTCTATGGGGTTGAGATCAGGCGAACATGCTGGCCAGTTGAGTTTGTTAATACCTACTTCCGCGAGGTATTGTGTGACACAAATTGCTGTATGTGGCCGCGCATTATCCTGCATCAGGATAAAGTCATGGCCGATAAATCCACTAAAAGCTACAACGTAATTGCTTAATATCTCTTCAATATATCGGTGAACCGTTAAAGATCCATCGATGACCACCAACTCAGTGAACCTCCTCCATAACTCAGATGGGGACTGAACGTGCATTCTGCAAATCTTTCTCCGTTCCTTTTCCATACTCTTTTCCGTCCATCTGGAGAATGTAAGCAGAATCTGGATTCGTCAGCGAAAAGAACATTGTTCCATTGCCCCAAGTTCCAATGTAAATGTTCAGTAGCAAATTCCAGTCTAGCTACTCGGTGACGCGGAAGTAATTTGGGTCCCGTTGCTGATCTGCAAGCTTTCAAACCAAACTCCTTCAATCTTCGGCGAACTGTCCACACACTAACATTTGTACCTCGAACCTCTTGAAGTTGATTTCTAGACTGCACTGATGTTAAATGACGATCCCGCAGAGTATTTACATGAAGTAATCTGTCATCAATAGCAGTCGTTTTTCGTTTTCTGCCACTACCTGCCCTACGCTTATTTCTGCCAGTTTGTCTAAAACATTCGATTACTCTTTTGATGGTTGAGCGATGAACATGAAGTATCATTGCAACATATTCATAATAACGTCCATCTTCAACAAGAGCGACAGCTTTTGCGCAATTTTCCGCACTTAAAACCATGGTTCGAGTTCCTTAAGGTCTATCACTGTCGAACTGACATTAGGACAACAACGAGCAAAGCCACCTCTTCGAAAAATTACATTTTTCAAAGTAAACGTTGATGATAAGATCATTTCCTTCTTAAAAATCAACTAAAGCAACTGAAGACTTGAACCAAAAAGCAAAATGTTGAAAAGAATCGGTTCTTAACAAAAATTGGTATTTTGAAAGAATTTGACCACGAAATTATTCCACAGGATGTTTTAAAATTGGGGTATATCAACATACTTCTAGTTAACCCTGTATAATGACTAATGAGCCAGCATTTAACAAAATACTGAATGTGCCAGTTGAAATTAATGATTTCATCCACAGTTTGCTGAAAAAATTTTGGAAATTGAAGTAAAAATAAAAAAACTATGAGACTTCAAATTTTACCAAATATTTACTTGTTGCGTTTTTTTTTCATGTGAGTGTATATGGAACAGATGATAGCCAACAAAAGAGGGAAAATGTGCATATAACTCATGAAAACATTCAGGAGTCATTCTGAAATGGCCCAATCCCACCGATTGTTCTCAAGAAATGTGCCCCCGAACTAACACCTGTTCTTTGCAAGTTGTTCTACTACTCTTACGAATTGGGGGTATTCCCGTCCAACTGGAAAATTGCAAGAGTAAAACCAGTTCCTAAAAAGGCAAAAAGGCCCTACCTAGCAACTACAGACCGATCGCACTGCTATCTATTATTTCAAAGATCATGGAGAAAGCTATCAACATCGAGGCTCATGAAATACCTGAAACATTCAGGTATTATCAACGATAGGCAATATGGCTTCCGTCATCAGAGATCAACTGGTGACGTGCTCGCTTACGTCTCACATATATGGTAGCAATCTATTGAAAAATATGGTGAAACTCCTCGCCAAACTCCCATATTATGGCTTGCCTCCCCAGCTATGTTCTCTGCTAGCTAGTTTTCTCTCAAACAGGTCTCTCCATGTAGTGGTCGGCGAAGTTTCATCTGACTACCCTACCATAAATGCTGGTGTTCCGCAAGGCTCAATTCTAGCACCAACACTATTTCTACTCCATATCAACGATTTG